ATCTTAATGATGATCTCGTATTCAGTTCGTAATTGGATGAGATTATTGCTTGTTATTGTGATGTAATTATTCGTTGAGTACATTTGTGACTCGGTTATTTGTTTATCCACATTCAACATGAATGATCAAATGGATTCATTAATTATCTTCTATTATAATTGTAACCTTACTGAATGAATTTGTTCGGTGAAAAGTGACGTTGCACTGGTCTGATCTTAAGCAATGAATTCGTGGGCTCAAATGAATTTTAAGTAGGCAGCTATGAAACAAATGGCANCTGAACAAATTACATTTTACTGAAGGGTAATTGTGAAAATTTTCTCATTTCGTTATTATTATTGAAAATTTTTTAGGGAATAATCCTGCTCACATAGCACAAAACACTCATATCACATGCTGAATGAATCAAATTTGTGAACGCATCTATCGATGTTTGCTTAAGGTCAATAAATGCATTACATAATACAGTAACACATTCGCGTACTTCCATTGTTTCGTCGAACCGTCGTCGAATGATTGAATAGAAATGTGAATATAGCACTTGTTGTTGTGACCCTTGCCCTCCCTATTCAACAACTCTCCATTCCATTCAAAAAACATTCTCAAATTTGCCCAGTGACTTCCGTCCATTAGTGTGATTTTATAACTCCAAAGTGCTTCGATGAAATCATCAAGTTAGTGTTCACTTATTATTCAACCGTATAGATCATGATCTTGACCCTTATGCTGCAAAATATTGCGATAGGTTCGATCTACAATATATTGTCGTTCTTTCGAATAGCTGTTCACTTTTAACGCGAGCAAATGTTTAAAGTGAGAGCAACATTTCAAAAATGTTGGGGTTTCGATTTCAAGTTCTTTTGCTAATGTTGTCTGAATTCTCCGATAATCTAAAGTTGCAACTGCTGCAAGCCTTCTAAGAAGTTCTCGTTATTCGTGTACCGTTCCATGAAATAACTTAATGTATGGTATCCAATTAATGTGAACGATTTACACTATTCATCGTTCCATTTTCCTGAAGATATATAAGATTGAGAAGTATTTGAAAAGTGATCATCAAGTTAGAGGATCGTTTTGCTTTTGGCTTCTGAGGGGATGATCTGTCAGTAAACGAGAAAGTGATCTCGAATGGGTCAACGACGTATCAATCAAAATGACGATCGAAAATTTGAAGTGATCAGCGCTGTTAACATGACTATGATTCCATTATCATTCTATGATATCGTTTAGCATCACTGATGCTCAGTGCTTGGAAATATTATTTTGGAAACTTTTCAAGGATACGATGTAATCGTTCCAGATTCCCAGAGGTTTTGTTGTTGTTCAACATTAGGGGCAGCACTTTTCTGGAGAATTTTTCAGTGAATTTCATTCAATTTCGAGACTCTAATTAACAGTATTTCGTTGAGCAATACCGATAAGTACAAGCGAGAAACTATGAACAAAATGCGTATTACACTGGTCCAACCTTAATGCTGTTGAACTTTAGAGCTGAATTTTAGAAAGTGACAGGTATAGTGGATTCTTCACTAATCGTTGAAGACTGGCTTTATAGTTTTTTGTTTTGTTGATTACTCTCAAAGGACAAGCTTTCAAATGCCATCATTTCTATCAAATGCTAGTTGCATGAACGAACGATGAACGCTTCAGCATTGCAATGTGAAGCCCAACGACGAGCAGCACGCCACCACCACTGATGGACAACTAATTACGCCATCACTCTTCTTAATCGCATTTGAAGATGTTTTAAGCGCTTCATCCTATTTGGACAGAACTATTCCCATTAATTCCGATAGTCTTCCAGAATTCACGATCGCGATCACAATTTTGAACATCTTCTCAAGGATTAGTGCAGCAGATTTTGAGCTTGTGTTGCAAACTGCTCAACTGGAATTTGTTGGCCAGTTTATCAGTGATCAATGAATATTTTTTGGAAATATTTGTACTTCCGGTTCCGTTTGGTTGCGAAAAGCCTCTGAAAAGTGCGAAATATAAATGCAGTTTTTACTGACCAAATGTTTTTGCGTGGAATGTGGCTGCTTCTAACGCCAATTGGCTGCAATAGCCAAATCTGTTGAAGTGGATTTCATCATATTTCATCCTTAACACTCCGATATTGACTCATATTAATCGGGCAACTCGAGTTTAAAAACTCGCAACTTTGCNCATAGTGTCTGTAGTATTATTGTACGCAGTTCAAAATAGCAAATGATCAACAACAGTTAATAGTGGTCATTCAAAATTAATGTGTGATTTTATTGACGTTAACGTACAGGTTTTTAGAATTGGTCGCGATTACTGGCAGTAGTGTATTGCACGTGTCTGTAACGGTATGAGCTTTAAATTTCGTATGCGCATGAGCGCTTAGTTAAGTGTTTAATTGCGATTCAGCGAACATTTATCGTCATAATTTATCTAGCAATAATTCATCATTAACACAACATTGACGTATATTATCAATCTGCATAAAATTCTGATCGTTTGTGATTTGAAACTGGCATAATTGTATAGGTATTTATATGTACGTGCAACATGCATCATTACTCATTCATTTAATGTGCTTTCAATACTGAGCAAATCAATGAAGCGAAGTAAAGTTTGATGTTGTCCTGGCAAAAACTTGCATTGTGTGATGCTTTCTTTGTTTTGTTGAGATGAAAATGTTTAGGCTCAAATTGTGGAANTAATCACAACCATTCAGTAGGAAAATATCAATATTGAAGCATAAATGGTATGCATCTGATCCAGGTACCCATATGTAGGTGAACTTTGCATACTATTTAAAGCCTCAGTAATAAATTATTCTCATTATCAATTATTCTTGCACAGTCTTCAACTTTATGACGTCTCAGTTGCCGCATCACGGTTGATAAAGTAGGCAATAGAGGACATGGAGAATTTGCATGGCACAAAAGTGACGAATGCTGGATAGGGGAGGTTTAAAAGTCGTTTGAGGCAAGAAATCCAAGTAGAAATGATCTTGGAAGCAGAAAATGTCGACTAACTGGCCGCCTGTTGGTAAATGAACCGAGCTCAACGAATTTGAGGCAACGGTGAGCTAAACAATCTTCCTGGATACGTATTGCCCTAATCCAGGATCAAATAATCATTCTTCTAACTTCTTTTCAAATCATCTCTTCAAACATCTGACGTTTAAGGATGATATGTCTTCAAATAATCGTAACTCACTAAGTGCACGTCATTTTATAGTGATTCCTAGGTTTATAGCAGCAAGTAAGAGGGGCCTGGTTGTGATTGGGAAACATTCGTGATCATTCCAGATTATTGTTTCAAACTCTCACGACTATACGAATATTCATCATGACAACCAAAAATCTGTTATTTTCGCTTCAAGCAATTGATAAAATCATTCAAAATTTCTTATGAGCGTATTCAGACCACAGATTTGCTACTGCTCGAAAACTTGCTCACGATCACGTCGAACAGTTTCGTCCCTATTCAAGAGAAATTTGTTGGTATTTCACCTGAATAATGAAACGCCATTGTTTATAGAACGTATTTTGTTTGCACAGCTCATACAGTAGAAAAAGGGTACAATAATAAAACAAAGCCAGTGCTTCGGAATGATGCAATATGATGTGAACTTCATTAATTTTTGTTTGCTAATGCATTGTTCTGTAATTAATCGTGTCACTGATATACTCAATATATCATCCTCAATATATCACCTACATACCTGTAAATATTATGAATACGTATATTCGACTAATGTGCATTAGTGGAAGATCTGTGAACATTTCACTTCAAATGACGCCCAGTTGGCTTTGGTGGTTTTATGAGCACTGAATGAGGGTGACAAACTACTATCCATTGAGTTTTGGCTAGTTTAGGTTGTATATCTTGTACATCGAATAATAAATCTCCTCTTATGGATGATATAATAGTTGTTGATTCTATTTGCACATGTGTTCATCTCTTTTGCCCTTCCACTCAATCGCTTGACATTGTCGAAATTTCCGTTCCTTACATCGACGTGAACAGAGCAGAAGAAGTCAGCGGTGTGAAGGACGAAAATTTCTTGTTGACCTTGCTATTCATTTTGCTAAGATCATCAACAAGTTATCACTTTTGAATAAATTGTTTATAATCGATGTTATGCTGCTATTCGAACGAATGATTGGTGCTCCAAATAATACTTTTGTTATAATCTTATTCAGAACTACGTAAGAGTTTCTCATGATCATATTTTCAGTAATCCTAGCAATAATTACAATTTTCTGTTCATTCATGAGCTGATCATTTCATGATCAAGTGATGATCACCGCAACTATTACATCAATCACGTCTGTTCCAACGATAATAATATGATTAATGATGATAATATTAACAGTGATGAAGAAGTTTGTTTTTCAGCGATACCAATGGTATTAGTCAGGTTTTTGCTATCCTTGTGGATTTTCGGGAATACCGTGAACACGTTTGCAGTACTGCCGTACGTTCAAATAGATTTTGTGCATTACTTTCGATTAGCACAATGCGAATCGAAATGCGCACAAAAGGTAATTATTGATTAAACGTATTGTTATTTCGCATCCATCTTCGTTCGGAGAAAATCGCTATCCTTTCTGACAATTCGGTGATTGGATTGTTGTTGGCTTGGTTGTGCTCATTTCCATTTCATGCTCGTTTACGGTGTTGTGGACAGCTCATTTGATGAAGATATGACTGATTGAATGTGTTTTGAATGCATCATTCATTCGTCTTCCTTCTGACAATGTATAATTTGCACACAACAATGAACCAATAAAACCTGCTATTAGCACACCGTCTGAATTAGGCTCCCAAGTTGTTTGAACCTCAGCTTTATGACTCAGTGCACTCCATAGAATTGATGCTTTCTACTGGATAATCAGGTTTTCGGTTGAGTTTTAATGCGAAGAGGAGATAAAATCCATATGGTAGTTAAAATAGGTGCAAGGGAGATTACTGAATCGAGCTTCAACTTATAACCGTAATATATTTAGTCGTAGCATTACGATATGTTTTCAAAAACTTCAAGAACCTCACCCACGCTTCACGAATTCACAAAACTTCAATTTCAGTACGGTGCACCAGTCAGACGACGTCTTCACGATGGAACTTTCATTGAATTCATTGCAATTACGGACGATAACGGAAGATTCGTAAGTTCCACCGCACTATGGCAATCATTTCTTCCTTTTATTTCAAAATATTTTCATCATATTCTTGTTCTGTCGAAAATTTTTCTCCATACATCAGTTTCTTTGCGTATTTTCGTGTTGCAACCTTTTTTTGCAACCTATCACTCACATTATCTGCTACCATATCCCCAAGAAATAAGCACTTTTCAATGGTATTCCATCTAAAAGGTGATCCTAATTATGCAGTTATAGTGAATGTCATCCTTCATCAATAAATTTATGTACATATCCGAATATAGTTGAATGTCGGAAGTGATTTGATCTTTCGCAAATGTCGATCAAATGAAGTTTATGTAAATAAACAATAGCCGACGAAAACGATGACCGTTTACGAACACCAGATAGAATAATTTATTTTAGACTTATTATAATAGTAGAAGTTGATTGATTGCGCTGACGCGATTGCTATTCAACATTAAACACTCAATATGGCAATTTGATACGGATTAAGCAGAGATATATTTTGACTATAAACGACCGCAATTGTTTATTGCTGAAGATTTATTAAGGATGAGAATAAATATGGCTAATTGAAGTGAGGATGAGAAAATCTGATGGATATGAGAGGATGCAATGTATCCGTATTGAATTTCATCGATACTATTTGAAGAATCGTGAGAATTTAGCAATTTGTTTGAAAGTAGCTGAAAATGTACACAGAAAACTGTTTATCATGCGATATTTTTGCTTATGAATGAGTAAATTTAGTGTGATTTGGGATGTCACCGACGCAGAACATTTTCGAAGAAAATGGCACGATCTATTCGACAACCAATCGAGGACGGTACACGATTCTGGAGTGAATCGAGCGCTCATTCGGGTATGCGCATATTTCGTCCGATATTTCAAGACAGATGACAAATTGTCACAATGTTTGATGCTGTAGCATGAAGTTTATTCAGCATCTCAAGGGAACCTTCTAAGTCCAGGAGCTGGGGGTGTTCCAAACATAAATCTGATCTTTGGTCTGCTTATAAGTCCGGATTTAAGGTGGAACGTTCTAGTGAATGTCAAGACGGAATAAAATTGAAACACTCCAACTGGAAAATATGACATTTTGAAATGTCGCAGTATAGGTCCACTATTGTGAGTGTTTTTGTTTCGATTTCATCCGAAACCAGCTGCATATTACACGAAATCGGTCATTCAAAAAGTGTTCGTTCGCTGACAATTTCGTTGTCAGTGAATATGAAGATGAATGATTTCGTGAAGATGAAAATTTAATGACACTCGGGTGATTGAGGGACAGATCTGTTCAAAGAGCATTCATTATCCAATATCAAAAATACACCATCTTATCCACTTCCTTTCAACTATTATTCATGTAATCAATCAAAGATGCTGCTTTACATCACATTCATTCCTTCATTAATTCACATTTGCCTGATTTATTCATCTAATTCACACATTTAAAAGCATCAAAAAGCATCGATTTTAGCCGATCGTGATGAAATATTTTATCGCTTTCTCACTCACAGAACCACTAAAACTGTTTTCTGATTAGCGGACATTTGCGATCATATTCTAAACAATAAAGTTACACACATCTTTTTCCTGTAATCTGCTATATGGTTTGTATATTTGGGTAGAACGAAAAGCTTCCCAACAACCATCAAAAAATGGGTATTACATTGATCAACGTGCGATTTTTGCTCATTTCAGTTTGAAACAGTCTTTTAGAAATTCATACCGATCAATCGAATCTAAACTGATGAATTATTCATTTCTTCAAATGTAACTCTCCACTCCCAACATTTAGTTAAGGGGAAGATTCACTTATCTCATTAACTCGAGGCGAGTCTCCGTATTTCAACGTCATCTTTATCACTTATGGCAATTTAAGGGCTCATTTGCTCACTTTAGATGGGTCATTTTGTCGAGAGTGTTTGATGAATCAACATTGATTCAGAGGAGAACCAAATTGATTTCAGGTCGCTCAGGAGTATCGCCGATAAGCGGTGTTCGTATGGGATGCATGAATGTGGCATCTAGCGATGGTACTGAATTCGAGGATAGTATTGAGGGTCTTGTATTCATTGATTTGACGAAACATGTTGATATACCTGTTCGTTATATTGTTCAGTGGAAACAGCGTGTTTATGTTAGAGGTGTTTTCGAGGAGAGCGGATGGATTACGGCATCGGTACGATTTGACAATAGTTATGCTAGTAGCTAACTTCATCTCATCCAATTATTAAGGGAAATGTATAATACGTGAAAATCACAAAGAATTTCATCCGGAAGTATTTATATTATTACTAGGAACTTTTTGCATCACTGAATTCATTCAATGTGCTCAAAGTGAGAAAACAAATGAACAAATCACCAGTATAATGGAAGAATTTTCAAATTCATGTGTCATACAATCATCGGACAAGAATTGCATCTCATTCACTGATCTTTTTTTTCAGATCGAACATGAGCAATCCTTCAAAGTGCAGGGCATGATTCCGAATGTCCAGTATCGTTTTCTGGTCACTGCGGTTGGTCCGGATGGCCGATTGGGAAGTGCGGTTATGAGCGATTGGGCTGAAGCACTCTCGTTGGGATTGATTCTGCGACCACCAGGTAATAGAATTGCACCGTGAAAGGTCTATTTGGTCAAGAAAAANAAAAACTGCAAATATTCTGCCACATTTGCATAGCCCTACAGCTAGATTTGATCGACTAATCCAAAATTCAATCAGCAGATCAAAGCTTCAACTCTGAATTTGCTCCGACAGTGAATTTGTCCCTGAACAGACTGAACAAGACAGTGTGTTAGATAATCTTATTATCACAAAGTTTCAGCCCAGCCACTGGATATAACACAAAGATATGATAGCGAAAATGGTGTTTGTGCATTGCTTTCATGGACACCAACTCCAGAGCTACCCTCACCATCGCCGAATATCGCGTTCGAATCCACAAATAAAAGATTCGCCTCGTTTGACAGTTGCCATTATCGACTTACCTCTAAGAATGTTACCCATCAGCATTCGCACAATTTTGTTATGGTTTGTTTCGTTTATCAGTCGTTATTATCACTTGTACAATTCTGAGCCCGTGTGAACACTTTCGAGTTTGAAAGTATATTTATTCAAAGAGTATCTCGCCTGAGATTTTAATGTTTGTCGCGCATCTATTTACGAAATCATCTG